ATCCAGATCATCGATGAATATGTTGAACTGGACTGGGCCCAGTACTGACCCCTGAGGGACACCAGTTGTTACTGACCTCCAGCTAGACTCTGCACCACTAACCACAACCCTCTGAGCTCTATCTGTCAGCCAGTTCTCCATCCACCCCACTGTCCATTCATCTAACCCACAAGTCTGGAGAAGCGGACTATTTTCTGCCCTAAAACCCTAAAAAAACCAAAACCCACAAGGTTTTTTCTGAAATCCTTAAAATACGCACAGACATCACCAAACAGAGAAAGCACAGCTCTTCTCCAGGGGTCTTCTAGTGAGTGGGTTGTGGTGGCACCGCTGCAGCCAAGGGGCAAATTTTCCTTTGAGAAACACTGAAAATGGCGCTAACGGAGCTATAGACGCGTGAGAAGCTCCTTAGGAGGTACGAGTGAGTGGCCTGGATCTTCTTTGGTTAAAATGGGGATAAACATCCTAAACATTGATCAGAGGATTTTATTTAATTAAAAAAAAAAAACCAACAAAAACCAGAAAAACCCCAACAAACTCCTGCTGGTAAATACATTTGGCTGTCTGGGATCTGAGCGGTGGTCGTCGCTCTATCGATTGTTATACCATGAAATCAGGCAGGGAAAAAAATTAATGGTGGGTTTGAAGACCCTGAGCGTAAAGTTCAGTTGTGTAGAAAATCTGTTAAGTCGCTGAGCGCCTTGCAATGATTTTGGGGGGGAGGGGGTAAAAAAAAAAACCAACAAAACCCAAAACAAAACAAAAAAAGGGGAAAAAATCCAGCTCCTAGATGAAATGTCAATGCGTATTACGCTAGGTGATGCGCCGCTAGGAATTCTCTCGCGAGGCTGGGTCAGGCGGCCTTCCAGATGCTTGCGATTATCTGAGATTCCTGAATGGAAAACTACTTGATGAATTCTGGTATCTTAGCCCCGAGCCTGTAATCGAATCCCGCGGCAGAGGCTCCCGGCATCCTTCCTCTCGGACGCGCTGTGTTTTACCAGGTTTGGCTGCTGCGCTAGGATCTTATTTCATTATTTTTTATTTTATTTTTTTTTTTTCAGCGAAGAATGAAAGATAATTTGTTGTTTAACATGCTCTTCCAGTACATCTGTAGGGGAAAAAAAAAAAAAAAAAAAAAAAAGCCTTCCGGTGAGTTAAAATGTCGTTTTTAGTGGCTGCGGAGGGCTCTGAGTGCAGGTGGCCGTCCCCTCCTCTCTCGCAGGAGGAGATGCTCAAGCGTTGAGCCCCAGTTCCCACGGAGGATGTTAAAATTCACGACGTATGGAAGTTACGACCCGAGCTTTTGCAGCAGAGCCACGCGGTGGCGGGTGGAAGGCGACCGGGACGGTCTGTTTGCATCTTTAAAGCGCAAACGGGGTTAATGCGGTGTGAACTACGTTAATTACCCCCCGTTAAAGGTGTAAGTCGGTGGTAGGCGTTGGGCTGCGAGGTTTCAGCCATCGGGCACACCTTCCCGCAGGGTTACGGCTGCCTTCGTCCCCGCTTAGCTGATGCCTCCCTTCCTCGGGAGGCTCCGTGCCTCTCCTGCCATCCCTCTCTCCCCCCCCTCTCCGTTGCAGTGATATTTTCCCTTTATTCGCTGGATTTTATGTGACTAGTGGGGCATCAGATCGACACCCTGCGTGCAGAAAGGGGGTGAGACACAGTTCCTGCGTTCGGAGCCCTTCCAAACGGCCAAGTAAATAGAATCAAATTCAGAAATAACTTCTCCACGTCTTTCCACGCCGCTCTGGGAGAAAGCGTGGATGGTGATGGGGCGTCGCGATGGCTGCGAAAGGATTTTCCGAAGCAGTCGGGGTGGGTGGGAGAGGGGAGGGGAAGGTCTCGGTGGAGGTTTGCCCCGTCTCTCGCTGCTTGGGCGACAGCTCCCCGTGGGGGCGGGGGGCACTGGGCTGGCGGCCGGGCCGCGGCGCGCACGGCGGCCCGGATGGAGCCGCGGTGTGGATTTCTCCTGCGGGCAGCATCCCTCCGAGCCAGCGGGGGCAATTGCCGCGGCCGCGGGTCTGCGTCGGACTGGTTTATCTCTGTTGTGAGCGCAGGCACAGAGCCGCAGCGGGAGCTGATCTCTGAAGATAGCAATCTGCCATCGCCTGTGCATCCAGGCTCCTCCGACAGCACCGGGACGGGAGAGCTCTGTGGCTGCGCAGGGATGGTTCCCCTTTAGGCAGTCTGTCCTCCGGGCGTGCTCTGAGGCTGCAGAGCTGGCAGCACCCTCTTAGCGTCCGCTTTCGGTGGTGAGGCGCTGGAGGAAGGAGAAAGCGTAAGGATTTTATGCTGAGAGAGTTGGGGGGGTTCAGCCTGGAGAAGAGAAGGCCAAAAAGGGGAGACCTCAGAGCCCCTTCCAGTGCCTAAAGGGGCTCCAGGAGAGCTGGGGAGGGACTCTGGGTCAGGGAGGGGAGCCGTGGGACGAGGGGGGACGCTTTGACACTGACAGAGGGGAGATTTTGGGGAGATATCACGGAGAAATTCTCTCTTGTGAGGGCAGTGATCCCCTGGGGCAGGATGCCCCGAGGAGCTGTGGCTGCCCCATCCCTGGAGGTGTTCAAGGCCAGGTTGGACGGGGCTTGGAGCAACCTGGGCTGGGGGGAGGTGGCCCTGCCCAGGGCAGGGGGGTTGGAACGAGATGGTCTTCAAGGTCCCTTCCCACCCAAACCGTCCCGTGATTCTACAGTTCTCCTGGGGGAGCCACGGCTGCTCCTGGGCACTGCCTCAGACTGGGTTTTGCCGGACCCGTTGATGACGCAGGAGCTGCAGCCCGCCCGGAGTTGGCGATGTGCAGATCTGTGGGCACAGATCTGGCAAGGATTCTGCGCGAAAATTTGTTCCTCTGCTACCACGTGGTATCAAGTATCAAACTTTTTGGGAGCAAGGACCTACTGTTTACCTACCAAATAGCTCATTACCGTTAAACTTGTAACTGTAACCCCGGTAAAGAGAATATAAATGTTCTGTTGGTGCTGTGGATCATTTACAGCAGTCGTGGCCTCCTGAACCGCGGTCGGGAGCTGGGAATAAAGGCTGCCAGTTATTATCCTATTTTTTTAGCTATGGGATCTCAGTAGCAGGGCAGCCCCGCTGGCTCCCCCGTCGACAGGGGACGGTCCCGTTACACGCCTGTACCCGTGTCACACCTCCGGTTGGGTCGGGAGAGTTACCCGACGTGCTTCTACGTGGAGTTTGGCTGAAGTCATCTGCCTGTTCTCTCCCACACCCCACAGCCTCTGTCTAACGGGGCAAAACGTTCGGCGGGAGCGTCAGACGCATCATTTTAGGCATCTGGTTCGGATGACAATTACCTGGGTGGTTTCCCAGGTCGGCGGGGAGAGAACTGCCTTCAACTGCGTTCAAGACGTGAGCCAGCGCGTAGGCGTTGGCGGTGCTGGTTGGAAAGAACGTTAGCATTACACGAGTGTATTTGTTCCCTGTTTAAGTTTTTACTGAAACCGCCGTGAGGATTTTTGCCCGGGTGGAGGAGGGTTTCCAGAGACCTTGTGTGCAGCCGGGCCGGCGTTCGTGTTTTCCACCTGTGGGAAGAGGAATATGGTGCCTTTAGCTCCCTTTTGCCGATTCCAGCTTTTTTATTAACCATCTGACGGGCTTACCGCCGCAGCAGGCTGAGGGCAATTAATTTGAAAAGGATGGCCACATCCATACCAGATGGGTTTGGCGCTGGGTTTAGGATGAGCTGAATCGGCTTCTGCAAGGACCTGTCCCTTGGCGTTAGGTGGGAGAGCGCGGGCGGCTGGGACTGTGCTGCTGGTGTTCACACAGCCTGGCTAGAGGAGGTGATCTGGAGTCCAGAGGAGGCCCCGGAGCTGCTGGGAGGGCTGGAGCCCCTCTGCTGGGAGGACAGGCTGGGAGAGTTGGGGGGGTTCAGCCTGGAGAAGAGAAGGCCAAAAAGGGGAGAGCTCAGAGCCCCTTCCAGTGCCTAAAGGGGCTCCAGGAGAGCTGGGGGGGACTCTGGGTCAGGGATGGAGCCGTGGGACGGGGGGGGATGGTTTGGCACTGACAGAGGGGAGATTGAGGTGAGATGTGAGGAAGAAATTCTCTCCTGTGCTGGTGGTGATCCCCTGGGGCAGGTTGCCCCGAGGAGCTGTGGCTGCCCCATCCCTGGAGGTGTTCAAGGCCAGGTTGGACGGGGCTTGGAGCAACCTGGGCTGGGGGGAGGTGGCCCTGCCCAGGGCAGGGGGTGGAATGAGATGATCTTCAAGGTCCCTTCCAACCCAAACCATCCCGTGATTCCATGATGGAGTGGTTGGCCATGAGAGAGAGAAGGGTTGGATAAGTTTGGCTGTCTCTGGGAACTATCGCCATTGTAAGGTGCTGCTGGGAATCTGGTGCTAAGGGCAATAGCGTTGCTGCTGCAGGACCAGAGGATGCAGAAGGGTTGGAGAAGCCTCCTGGTGCTTTAGAGTCTGAGCAGTGTAAGAGCCGTCAGAAGCCATGTGGGAGCAAAGTTGCGAAGAGATGCCCGGGAGGGGTTAGGGAAACGGTGCAAAGGCTGAGCAAATGTTGCAGGAAGAGCACCAAGGGTAGCTTGATGCCCTCTATTTTTTGTGTTTATCTCATTTTTGTCTTTGGGGGTTGGAGGAGATGATCTCCAGAGGTCCCTTCCAACCCTGACCGTTCTGTGATTTGTTCTCATGTCGTGCGAGAAAACGGTAAAACATCTCCTGTTGACATGGGCTCTGGAGATCTGCCGAGCTTTTTTGGAAACCGTAATGGTTCCACTGCGGCCTGAAGATCCGAACCTGTCATCAGGGTGTAGGTTAAGGAGCTTCGCTCTCCGTCCTGCTGCTGGTTGGTTCTTCGGCTGTTAGACTGAACAGAAGAGAGAAATAAAAAAATAAAGAAATCCGAGTGGTTGGCGTTACCCCGTTTGGAAGGCCCGTGCTTGCCGTCCCCTACCGGGTCGGTGCCGTTTGGTAGCCGATGAGAAACTGCGTTGAATCAACTTTTCCTGTTGGGTCTCCCAGGCTGCGCTGGAGCAGCTGCCGGCGAAGGAAAAAACTTCCGCTTCCCATCGTTAGCTCGCTCGGGATGATTTCTCCGCGTCATCTTCCTGACGGTGTCTCTCTTCTGCCCAGGTTGTTGCTGGAAGGCACAGACGTGAACGCCAGACACAAGCTGGGCTGGACCGCTCTCATGGTGGCAGCTATCAGCAGAAACTCCAGGTACGTTTGTCTCGGTGTCCATCGTCACGGGGTGGGTAAGGCACTCCCCGGCCGCCCTCCCGCTGTGGGTAAAGTCCTACTGAGCAACACGGAGCGTTTCCAGAAAGTTTGGGCTGGTTTGGGGTGTGCCATCGAGTTAAACTCGAGGGGGCTTTTCGCCCTTCCTATGCCCGCTGCCTCGTGGGGGAGACGGAGGTGAGCGGCTCTGCAATCCCGGAGAGGCGGCTGCTGAATTGACAGGAGTAGATGTTGGCCTCCGATGAATCCGTAACCTTGGGATGTCCTTGGGGTGGGCAACGGAACACCCCACCGTCAGCGATAGCTCCCGCAGGAGCCGCCGCGTCCCTCCTGGCTGGCGGGGCGGTCGCTGGGTCTTTCATGCGAGGCCTTTATGAAGCAAAAAGGCTGAACGCTGTGCCCTCCCTCCTTAGTTCCCATGCTGATCGCCGTGGCTTCTTGTAACCTTTTAAAGACCCTCTTAAATGTATTCAGTCTACAACTAAATTCAATTAGTTTTTTATTTAAGGGGAAAAAAAAAAAAAAAAAAAAAAGAGAGAAAAAGAAATCCAATTTTGGAAAACGCGGGACAGACGGGAGAATGAGCTTTGATGTTACAACCTCTCAGGGATGCTTTACTTAGTCACAAGTTCATAAGCAAAAAAGCCTAATTACTTGGGAAAACACAGGATTAAAGGGGCGCACAAAGGCTGAATATCCGCTCTCGGGCGACACGATTCCAATCCGTGTGCCGAGTTCGTGTGTGGTGCAAACTTTGATGTGTGCTATGACAAGCTGAAAGTCGTGACCTCCTCGGGAAGTTCCTTAAGACGGGCACGGAGGCGAGGGCTGGGGACCGTTTGTTTAACTTTGATGTCCGAGCAGCAACGGGCCCCGTTGTTTGCCCCTCCGCAGAGGGACGGGCTCGGGAGCCTCCCACCTTTGCCGGCGGACAATGGTCAGCAATGGAGTGTGACGACTGTTGACCATTCCGAGTGACTGGTGGAGCAGAACAGGGCTCCCCGAGTTGCAAAGGCGAAGGGGAGAGAGGGAGAAAGGCCCTTCACGGTACAATAATTACCTAAAATCAGGTAGAAATGCTGATGAAAACATCTCGGCGGTAAAAGGTGTCCGGCACCCAGGCTGGTCCCTCGTTACAGACTGGCAGAGCCGTAACGACGACGCGTCTCATTTGGGTACCCGGCGAAACAAAAAGCTTTTGGCTGCGTCGGACGAGTTGTGTTTATTTTTCCCACATTTTGGATGAGTCCTGACTTTAATTGAAAATTAAGAAGTCTTTGAATATCCGTAGCTGGGTGGGACTTGTCTCCAGCGCTATAGCGGGAGAATAATTAGATACTTCACGGGGGGCAAACACGAACGCAAGCTGGGGTGGTGCCAGCCCCGGGTTTGGCTCTCCGTCCCCTTTCGGCCTTTGTCACCTCGGCAGTGGGGTCTCGCTGCTGGCTGGGGAGCGTCTCGAGCTGGAAGATGACATTCCCTACAAATGGTTTGCTGGCGGACGTAGCCCACGGGGTGAGCTTTTTAACCCGAAGCCGGCAGAACCGGGCGCTGCGTCTGCGGTGGCCGTGGCGAAGGCAGAGCCTGGGGCGCTGATGGCTTTGGCTCGCTGGCGCCGGTCCGCCTGCGGAATTTTAAACCTTCATTAGCTTTTCCCTCCCAAATCCAGAGCGCCTGCTGGTTTTCTGGATCCCGTGCAATCCTTTCGCGTACATTAGGTTGGAACTAGTCTTAAATAATGACTTGCTCCGCTTTGCAGTAGGATGCGGGATTGGGGTTTGGTTTTTTTTTTACGGCGCGGTCCCTCCGTAAAGAGCGATGAGCTGAAATTGGTTTATCCAGCCACAGCAGCCGATTGGGTGGATTATAAGTTGTTATGACTTTTGGTTCTCAGCCCATCAGACGAAGAGCCTCCGGGGGAGGTGAGCCGCGCTCGCCCGTCAGAAGAGAGGTAACGAGCGGCTCGGGGACGGCCGAGAGCAGCCGGCCGAGCCAGGGGCTGCGCCTGCCGCGAGCCTGCCGCAGGAACAAGGTCGTCGCGTGGCGTTTAACCCGCCGCCTCCGTCACCGCTTCTGGTTTTAAGGTTGCTGATACCCACACGAGTTACCCGGCGTGGCTTCAGGGGGCTGTGACGCCGGTGAGCCGGAATGAGAAAAAGGAAGCCTTCAGCCCCAAATTGCTGTCTTTCCAAAGTCGTTTTTCAGAGTAGAACCATTTTTATTTTTTTTTGCCCCCGCCAAGTCTCAGCTGTGCTGCTGGAGATTTCGGTGACCTGTCCTTTAGCCTTGTAATGTTTCCCAATTTTCACAGCCCTCACTCTTCCAATTAGACAGCCACAGTCCATATGTTTAATTTAATTTCGGAGGCACTGCATTAATGATGTTTGTCAGTTGCCATCAGCTACAAGATAAAAGCCCATGTGCCGGCAGGGAAGTTTGGGGTCTGTTTTTCTGTTTTGCAACAAAACAACGATCATTCTCTTCCTCTTGAAAGCGTCCTGTATCCAAAACTCATCAAGGCATTAAGAAGTGTTGTGGTACGTTCCCACCTCCGGGTGTCGGAGGGGAGACGGGTGCGTAGCTGGAGAGGAGCGGGGTCAGGGCTCAGCGTCACGCCGCAGTAGTGCCTTTCCCTATGGGCTCCCAAAAGTTCCTCATCCCCGGGGAATTCAGCCTCACGGCGCCCTGTGGGCTGGCAGAGGCACCGGCACTTCCAGCAGCTCCAGGTCGGGGCAGGAGGAGCTTCTCTTCCATCGCCCGTGCTCCAGGAGACGGCTCTTCTGCAAGCCCGGAGTGTCTCTAGTCCCAACTGGCGTCTTCCTCTGCAGAGCGTCCTGCTCTGAGCCGACGTGCACCGCGGGCAGCGTGATGGCAGCTCAGCTTGGGCACCCCGTAGAGTTGTGGGATCGCGGGATGGTTTGGGTGGGAAGGGGCCATAAAGATCATCTCGTTCCAACCCCCTGCCCTGGGCAGGGCCACCTCCCCCCGGCCCAGGTTGCTCCAAGCCCCGTCCAACCTGGCCTTGAACAC